GATTTGATGAATCGGGTGTTCCGACCATATTTGGATCAATTTGTGGTGGTCTTCATTGACGATATTTTGATCTATTCTCGTACTGAGGCAGAGCATGACGAGCATTTGAAGATCGTTCTGCGGACTTTGAGAGAGCATCGTCTATATGCCAAATTAAGCAAGTATGAGTTTTGGCTTCAAGAAGTGTCATTTCTGGGGCATATTATTTCTGCGCGAGGTGTTCAGGTTGATCCCAGCAAGATAGAGGCTATTATGAATTGGAAACGACCTAAGAACGTATCTGAAATCTGCAGTTTCTTGGGCTTGGCTGGTTATTATTGACGTTTGCTGAGGGCTTCTCGATCATGATTCTCCTTTGACAAGTTGTTAAGGAAGAATGTGTTGTTTGACTGGGGCGAGGCAAACAGGAGAGCTTTGAGAAATTAAAGGCGGTTTTGACTCAAGCACCGGTGTTGATTCAACCAGAGTCCGGGAAGGATTTTACAGTGTATAGTGATGCTTCACATTCAGGACTTGGTTGTGTTTTAATGCAGGAAAGTAAGGTGGTGGCTTATGCATCCCGTCAACTGCGGCCGCATGAGAGTAACTATCTTACTCATGATTTAGAGTTGGCAGCAGTAATTTTTGTCTTGAAGATTTGGAGACACTATCTTTATGGAGAGAAGTGTTACATTTTCACAGATCATAAGAGCTTAAAGTATCTTCTGACCCAGAAGGAACTTAATTTGAGACGGCGTCGCTGGTTAGAGCTTCTAAAGGATTATGATTGCGTGATTGATTACCACCCTGGTAAAGCTAACATTGTAGCAGATGCTTTGAGTCGAAAGACGGTATCGGAGTTGAGGTCTTTAATGGCCAAGATGAATTTATATGACGATGGCACTTTGTTAGCAGAATTGCAAGTTAAGCCGACCTTGGTTGATGAGATCAAAGCTAAGCTGCCCCTTGATAGCTCCTTGCTTTCCATCTTTGAGCAAGTAGAGCAGGGGACAAACTCAGATTACGCAATTGATCAGGATGAAGTTTTATGCTTTAAAGGTAGATATTGTGTGCCTGATGATGCTGAGTTGAGGCAGACTATCCTTACTGAGGCTCATAGTAGTCCATATGCTATGCACCCGGAGGAGATAGGATGTACCGAAATTTGAGAGAGGGTATTATTGGATTGGTATGAAGAAAGACATATCTGACTTTGTGGCTAGGTGTTTGACTTGTCAGCAAGTTAAGGCAGAACATCAACATCCATCAGGTTTGTTACAGCCTATCAAGATTCCTGAATGGAAATGGAGAGTATTACTATGGATTTTGTTACTGGCTTGCCTATGACTCCTTCGAAAAAAGATTCAGTTTGGGTGATTGTTGACAGACTTACAAAGTCAGCTCACTTCATTCCTGTGCGAGTAAATTATACTTTGGATAAGCTGGCAAGATTGTATATTTCAGAGATTGTCAGATTGCATGGTGTTTCATTGTCTATTATTTCTGATCGAGATCCGAGATTTACTTCGAGATTTTGGAAGGCGTTACATACGGCTTTGGGAACAAGATTGGATTATAGTACATCCTTTCATCCACAAACTGATGGTCAATCTGAGAGAGTAATTCAGATTCTGGAGGATATGTTGCGGGGTTGCGTAATCGATTTTCATGGTAGTGGGAGAACTTTTTGCCGTTGGCTGAATTTGCTTACAATAACAGTTATCAGACCAGCATTCGTATGGCACCCTATGAAGCGCTCTATGGGCGTAAATATCGCACTCCGATCTGTTGGACTGAGTTGCGTGATAGGAAAACGTTGGGACCTGAGTTAGTGCGAGAGACGGAGGACACAGTCAGATTAATCCGTGACCGTCTGAAAGAGGCATTTCATAGGCAGAAATCTTATGCAGATCAAAGAAGGAAGGATATACAGTTTGAAGTGGGAGATCGGGTCTTTTGAAAGTTTCACCCTAGAAGAAAGTATTGAGATTCGGGCGTAAGGGTAAATTGAGTCTAAGATTTATTGGACCATTTCGTATCTTGAAGAGGGTAGGACCTGTTGCATATCAGCTTGAGTTGCCTTCTGAGCTAAGTCGTATTCATGATGTCTTTCATGTATCAATGTTGAGGAGATACCGTCCAGATCCAGGTCACATTATTCAGGTTGAAGAAGTAGAGATGAGACCTGATTTGTCATATGAAGAGGAGCCCATTCATATCTTGGAGAGAGATGAACGAGTTCTTCGGAATAGACGAATTCCAATGGTCAAAGTTCAGTGGAGTAATCGAGACCCCTCAGAAGCTACTTGGGAGACATTGGAGTCAATGGAGGCTCAGTTTCCTCAACTATTCTCATAAGGTAAATTTCGAAGACGAAATTTCTTGTAGAGGGGGAGAATTGTAACAACCCGATTTTCAAAATAATATTTAATTGAAATTGGAGGGTTTAATTGTGAAAAATTGGCGAAAATTTGGGACTGAATTGAAAGATTTTAAAACTTAGAGCTTGTTTTAAAGTTAAAAAAAATTCAGGGACCAAGCCCTGAATTTATCCTTGGAGTGTCGGCAGGCAATTGTTATATGCGTGATTTCTGTTTTGAAAAAAAGAAATCAATTTCACAAATCCTTCCTCACGCACACAACTTCCAAACTCGATTCCGACTCCGTCCGAATTCCGATCGTTGTTTTGAAACCACCGTTGTGTTCATCATCGAGCGAGGAACAAACCCTTCAAATTAATTGAAGCGAAACGCGACCAAACATCGGGAATTTCCAGTCAAAGTAGCGACGGTTTTGTTAGCTCTATCGCCGAGAAAATCTTAAATTCACCGTTGATCGTTGCTCCGTTTACGACACCTCCCGCACCATTGTGTTCCTTGTGCCGTTCCGAGTTCACCGGTGTCAACCTTGTCCGCCGTAGACGGCGGCGCGTGAGGAGGTGGTGCAGTCAAAGATTCGGCCGATTTGAAATCGAGCTCTCCGCCGTTCAAAAATTTGAACCGATCGTTGTAAGTATCTCGAAATCGCTCAAAATAATTTTTAGAAATTTTTTCAGGATTTTTAGGGCCCCGGAGGACGCCTCACGCGCCACACGCGCCGCCGTAGGGCGAGTGGCTGCTGGAAACCGGTTTAACCGGTTTTCAACCATTTCTGACCGGTTTGACCGGTTTCAACCGGTTCGAACCGGTTTGACCGGTCTGAACCGGTTTGACCGGTCCGACCTGACCGTTGACCCGACCCGACCCGACCGGACCGATGACCGTTGACTTTCTTTGACCAAAACTTAAAATGGCTTTGACCGAGCATTAAACGACCGTTAATCTTTTACGAGTATACCTATCCTGATAGTTTTCGACGTGCCAAATCCGTTTCCGCTGTCTGTTTCGTCAAATTCAAACCCGAAGGACTCCAAATCGACGGTCAAAGTAGTTGACTTTGACTTTGACCAAGAATCTGAATTTTCGAAAAGTCATACTTTATGTTTTTCGACGTCCTGATTCCGATTCCGCAATTCGTTTGGCCAAATTCAGACTCGAAATACCCCAAATTGATAGTCAAACCCAAAAAATGCTTATATACTTAAGAAGTCTAGTTTGAACAATTAAATAGGATTTGGGACTGATAGATTATTATTGTTTGAAGGTACAAGAGACTCTCCGGATCGTTCGACAACTCGACCGAGCTCTTCTAGATCAGTTAAACCACGTGTGCCATTATTCACGCGTTCGAAAACGGTAGCAGAGCGTGGTGAAACCAGCAATCAGTAGATTTGCTATTTGAACCTATTGTCGAGGTGTGTTCCCTACTTATTATTGAACTGTTTTATTGGTTTTAATATATGGTACACCAAATTCATTGGTTATTGTTTTATGGATGCACCAATTTAATGTGACAATTTATGGAATATGGCTGCTATCTAATTTTTGTTTTGAAATGGTATATGATTACCATGTTTTTGGATTTATGGAATTTATGTCACGGTGCAATTGAATTTTGGAATTGAATTACGATGGAATAGCTCTGATCAAGCTAAATGAGCCTAATGTGACTCTTGAGGGCCCCAAGATGTTTCATTAGGTCGGCTTTCCTTTGCTGTGTGCTTTGGGTAACCTATATGGACTTATTGACTTGGGCTTAAAGATACAAGCTTCAGAGCCTATTCTTAAGTCGGCTTTCTTTTTGATTTGTGCATAAAGTAAGCTATATGGAAAATAATTTTGAGAACTACTGATGGTGTACCAGAAAAGGGTTTAAACTATGATTTTCAAAACTTAAACTCTTTTACGAATTTGTGAGATTACTGGACTATGATTTGTACCTATTGACATTTTATGGAAATGTTGGGATACACTGAGCCTAGCTCACCTTTTGAAAATGTTTTCCCCCTTTCAGATACTGTTGGTTAGATACCTCGGTTCGAGCACTTGGAGGATCAACATATCTCTTGAAGTAAATCAGATTGTAATATTTTTATCTTGCAAGTTGACTTTATTTTGGTGACATGGACCTTATTTTAAATATCGGATTTTATAATGATGACTCTTTTGCTAGTACTGCTCGGTTTATTGTGATTTTGAATTTGAAGACATGTTTTAAATTAAATTATTATTTATTGATACTATATTTACGAGTTGGATTTTGATAGTATAATTTGTTTATAATTTCATGTTATTTATAATGTGATTTTATATTGATAGAATAACGATTTCGGAAAATATCTTTAATAATCATAATGTGATCCACTAGACTTAGTCGAAACGCATAGGTCGGGTCTAGGGGGTTACAAAACCGGTTTTTTTCAAACTGGTATTTTATCTGGATTGAGACTGCACAAAGAATTTTCGCAATGTAAAACACACCACATAGCATGATAGCAGCAAGAAACTATATAAATAAAATTAAGATTGATACGTTACAGGGCTCAAACATTGTAAAGAAGATTACCGAGCATTTCTGGGAGTGGGAAACTGCAGCAAACATCACAATTCAGTAAGAAGATATGAGACTGCACAAAGAAAAGCAAGGATTTACCTGACAGGAACTCTTAGCTCGGTAGAGATTGATGAGACATACAATGCAAACTCACGCTCCTCATAGAAACCGACTAGATAGATCTGGGCTAGATTCGGAATCTACAACAGAGATGTTAATCTTAATAATTACCGGAACTATAAATAAAAAGTCTATATTTTATGTTCTCTTAATATATAGATCAAGCATTATACCCTTTTACAAGCAGAAATTGGGTGATGAACCATAGGTTGTCCAGCCAAAGGAAACAAAGGCTTTGCAACGTTCAATGACAAGGGACGAAACCGAGTGCCTGCAATATGAGAAGTTCCAACAAAATCCTAAGCTATTACATGTTAAACCTTCATATTGGATGGAAATGTTAAATACAAATGAAAAAAAAAGCATTTCAATTTCAATAATTTGAAATTGTGAACACAAATGAAAAAACAAGGACAGAAACACATCAGCCATTGGAAACAAACTCCATATCCAATCCAAATAACCCGAACGGAATTATAAACAAGCAACCCAGAACATTCAAGATCGAAAATTTTCAGCATAAGAACTTAATCACAGCATAATTTTTCAAAGAACAAGGTCATACCTTTAGTGGGTCCACCCACCATGATCACAGCAACAACTTTCTCGTCTGAGCTCCCCATCTTCAAATCAACAAAAACCCAGATCTCCAATAACAACAATTCCCGAACAAAGTATTATATAACAAAAATAAGACGACCCTTTGCTAAAAAAAACAAACAAAATGAATTCACATCCAACACACGACCCAGATGAGCAAATTCGACGAAAATTCAGTTCATTCGCTACCGACCAAATAAGATCGAAGCGGCAGTGACTAAAATGTCTGAAAGTGCTGAAGTAGAAAGAAAGAAATGTTGAGAGATAAAGAACGTAAAACAAAGGAAGCGGCTTTCTTGAATATCCAGTAAAGTGTGCAGAGAATCGGATAAACGAGTAGAAATTGGGATATCCGAGGATGAGGCAGAACACTACTCGCTTACGATAAATCAAAACACAAAGGAAAGGAGAGCAAACCCCAATATAGCAAAATGAAAACAAAAATTAGAATCTAACAATTTCCTCACATAAAGAAAAGAAAGTGAAAGGGAGCAAATTCGATAGCCTTTTCGACCCACAGTATACGTTCCGCTCTTGAAAATATAGTACTTATCTTCTTCTTCCTATTTCTTCAGCTGCCCAAATGGAATAGGGTTCAGTCTTGAAAATAATGCAACGCAAAAATGAAGCAATAGTTGCAGCGGGAAGGGTTGGAGCGAAAGGGTTTGGCCGAAAATAAAGGAGGGAGCGTTTGGCCGGGTAGAAGCGGGAGAAAATGGGAAAATGGCTATTTTGGCGCTTCAATTTCATTCCTATCAAATCTATATTAATAAACTATTTATAATTAATATTAAAATAATTATATAATATAAATAATATTAATATTAACTTATATTAATATAATATATTTAATAATTTATAATTAATATTAATATAATATATAGTCTATAAAATTAATATTAATATAAAATATAGTCTATAAAATTAATATTAATATAAACTATATGTTATAAATGATATTATATTAATATAAATTATAATTAAGATAATTAACATTAATATAAACTATATAGTACATTAATATAAACTATAGTTCATATAGTTTATATATATAGTTCATATGTAAACTATAGTTCATATATATAGTATATAAATATAAACTATAGTTTATATAAATAGTATATAAATATAAATTATAGTATGTAGATTATATAAATATAAATATAAATTGTATAGTTTATATATAACTCATATATAATTTATATATAAACTATGTAGTTTCTATATAGTTCAATAGTTCATATATAAACTATATAGTATTATAGTTTATTCATGGTATATATAGTTTACATAATATATATAAAACTATATAGTTCATATGTAAATTATACTATATAGTATATATAGTTTATATAATATATAGTATATAATATAAACTATAGTATATATAGGTCATATGTAAATTATATAGTATATAAATATAAAATATAGTATATATATATATAGTATATAAATATAAACTATAGTTTATATAAATAGTATATATTTATAAATTATAGTATGTAGTTTATATAAATATAAATATACACCCTAAACTCTAATACTTAAACCCTAATATTTAAACCCTAAACCATATAGTTCATATATAGGTTCTATATAAATAGTATATATTTATAAATTATATTATGTAGTTTATATAAATATAAATTATACTATGTAGGTTCTATATAGTTCAATAGTTCATATATAAACTATATAGTATTATAGTTTATACATGATATATATAGACTATAGTTTATACATAATATATATATAAACTATATAGTTTATATATAATACATACTTTATATAACTATATAGTTTATATTACATATATATTAGTTGTTTTTATTTTTTTCTCAACTTTTAAAATGAATGCAATTTAGTCTATTTTACAATATTTTTCATATTTGATCCCTTTTGTGTTGTTTAATTTATTAAAGATTTTTTTGTAATTTCATATTTTTTCAATTTAGTCCTCCACATTTTATTTGCATATGAAATTGACCCATACTTATTACTTATTTCTATTTATTAATTGGCCCATAACTTTTTAAATGGGTATAATTTAGTACATTTTTGTATTAATTTCAACCTCAAAATTTAAAATTATTTCAATTTGATCCCTTTTGTGTTGTTTAGTTTATTTAAATTTTTATTTGTTATTTTATATTTTTTCAATTTAGTCCTCCAAAATTATTTGCATCTGAAATTGACCCATACTTATTACTTATTTCTGTTTTAAAATTGGCCCATAACTTTTTAAATGGATATAATTTAGTACTTTTTTGTATTAATTTCAACATCACAATTTAAAATTATTTTGATTTGATCCCTCATCAATGTGTGTTGTTTAATTAATTTAAATTTTTATTTGTAATTTCATATTTGTTCAATTTAGTCCTCTAAATTTTATTTGCATATGAAATTGATCCATGCTTTTTACTTAATTATATTTTTTTAATTGGCTCATAACTTTTTAAATGGGTATAATTTAGTACTTTTTTTGTATTAATTTCAATATCACAATTTAAAATTATTTCGATTTGATCCCTCATCAATGTGTGTTGTTTAATTTATTTAAATTTTTATTTGTAATTTCATATTTGTTCAATTTAATTCTTAAATTTGTATTTTTCATAAAATTGAACCATGATTATTTATATTCTTAGTGATTTACTCTAAATCATATACAATTACAAATTACAATTTAACGTTCGTGAAAGACGAAAATAATTAATCAAAAAATAAAAATTAACCCGATTTGAACTCAATCCGTATCTGATAGAGATCCGACCTGAATTTTATCTGCCAATGATGTGATCCGATCTGAACGATATCCGCCTGATGTCTATCCGAACCTGAATTAGCCTGGTCTTTATCTGCTTTGGACTTGAACTGTTTTGACCTGAACTGGAAACGATCCGAACTGAAAATGACATGACCTGAACCCGATCTGGATCTGGTGTCAAATTTACCTGACTTGACCTGTATCCGATTTTACCTGACCTGCCAAGATTCGACTGAAACCTTAACGATTACCCGATTTTACAACCCTACATCCATGGATGAGTGATTTAAACTAGCATTTTCAAAGGTTAGATTGTAATTTGTAAATTACAAATAAAATACTAATTTGTAACTTTAAGACTATGAAGTATATTTTCATCGAAATAAATATTATATAATCTTTTTACCTTAATAAAAAATAAGTGTTTAAACTATACCTTAAGTTAATTTTATGTGCTTAAAGAATTCTTCATTAAAAATATGTGCCTAATATTTTATCCGTTACACTTTTAGGTGCCTATATTTTATTCGTTATACTTTTAGGTACCTACGCAGTAACGACTATAAAAAAACTATTAAGTGACATGTGTCATTATTATATTTTAGCTTAATGTAAAAATAAGTGTCTTAACTATACCCTAAGTTAACTTTTGGTGTCTAAAGAATTTTTCGCTAATAGTATGTGTCTAACGTTTTCGACATTACACTTTTAGATGCCTAAGTTGTAACAACTGTTAGATTCGACCGTTATTTGACACATGTTTCGTTTATATATGTACTTTTTTAAGAAAAAAATTATCACCTGCACAGAAACTTTTCCCCTCCCCTGGTGCATTTAAAACCCCTTCATTGACCTTATAAATTCATAAAGTTAACTTATTGGGATTAGGGTTAGATATTGAGTATTAGGTTTAGATATTTAAGTTTGGATTTATAGATTTAAGGGGACTGACGATAACAAGAGAGATGATCAATAGTAGAATTTCAACGATAGATGAGTGACTGTTTGACGACGATGAAGGCAATCAATGATGACTGACGATAGTTGGTAATGGGGGTAGAAATGAGAGATTTTAGGGTTGTAAGTTCTTTTTTATAATTTTAGAAAAAATTATTTTTTTAAAAATTAATAATATTATCAAGTTCTTTTAGAAAAATAAAATTTTAAAAAATATATAAACATGACACATGTTTATAACTATTTTTTAATGATTATTAGTGTAGACATTTAAAATTGTAATGTCGAAAATGTTATGCACATATTATAACAAAAAATTATTTAGACACTAAAAGTTAACTTAAAATATAGTTTGAGTATTTATTTTTGCATTGAGCCAAAATATAAATATGACACATATCACTTAACGTTATTTTTAACGATTATTACGACGTAAACACCTAAAAGTATATAAAAAACATTAAGCATCTAAAAATATAACGTCAAAAACATTAAATACCTATTTTTAACAAAAAAAAAAAGTTCTTGAAATATCTGAAATTAACTTAATATATAATATTTACACTTATTTTGGACAAAAGAGGTTGAATAATACAATAAAAAAATTCTTTATATAATATAATATAGTATAAAAAAATTCTATTTAAAGTGATTGCTACAATGACCCCGTCAGCGAGGAAGCTCTTATTTTGCATCAAGCCTTTATCTTTCGGTGTTCAAAAACCAAAACTAGCGGTAAGTAGTCATCAAATAAAAGCAATGACAAGAGATAGAAATGAAAGCATCAAAGTTTGAATGTAGAGGGTTTTTTGAAATGACAGATGAACCCTTGTCGTGTCTATCAAAGAAAGTTTATGTTTCTCAGCAAATTACAAACTTTTCGAGGAGGTTTCGGTACTTTTCTAAACCTCCTTGCATTAAATAACTTATGAAGGTGTTGGGGGCCACAGGGATATACCTAGGGAGATCTTTTTGCTTATATTTATAACTTATCGTTTGCTTAAACAATGGGAGATTGAGGTTTATATAATATATATGAGAAGGGTATATTACATAAATAATCTATTAATTATAAGATATTTTATTGAATTTTTTATCTATTGAAAGTTATAAAATGATTTTTAACTATAAGATGTTATTTTTTTAATTATGTGACTATTAAAAGTTATAAAATAGTCATCTAACTATTCATATATTCTAAACTCATTATTTTTCGTTAAAAAATAATGGTCGTTTGAGTTTGAAGTTAATATGTTCATTGGGATATGATAAAATATAATATCAGAACTGTTTGAGTTATATTTTGTAGATTGAGTCTTTGTTTGTATTATATCGTTGAGCAAGTGTTTGAAACATTATATCGTCAAATAAGTGCTTGAAAACAATGACGGTGCTAGTAGACATAATTAAAATATGATTTTATCATATCTCAGTCAATATATTAACGTCTAGCTAAAACAATCGTCAATTTATATAATTAGAAAAAGAAGAATTTAAAATATATGAATAATAAGATGATAATTTATAATTTTTAATAGTCGGGAGACGAAGGTAAATAACATCCTATGATAAAACACACAAAATATTGTAGGAGTAGCATTTACAACTAGTCTGTTTTCT